TCTCCTTGTTCTTCTTCACAAACTTCATTGATATTATATTCTTCCTCTTCCTCTTATCTTTGGCATCCGATTTGCTTCTACTGCAAGTCTCCTGTTATTTTCTCTCCGAACTACAGGCTGCGCGATCCATTCATGTTGATTTCCTTATTGCCATGTTGATGATTATGCCTATTGTTACCAACAACCCAGTAACAATTGACGGATCTCTCCGATCTTAGTAGTAAGATCATCTAGTCATCGATTTATTGCGTCCAAATCTGTACTAGTAACTGATACGTCACCCATGCTTATGAATAAAAAATATAGAGACGGGAAAGCAGGCTCGATACCACCCGATGTAGGATGGAAACGTGAATAATAATAAAAGTGTCTTGTTCATAACACACGAACAGATATTTGCTTAAATTTCGCTCGAATGGACGTGATGACTATTTGGAATCCACCAATAAACGAGAAAATGATATAACACCAACTCAATTCAAATTGTGTAAGTAAAGAGCACAGTGGGCAACAGGGGCATGAAGGGAAATGAGCTAGACAATTCCAACAAATCACACGATCAATTGTTACAACAATTCACGGGCATGTTATACATGCAATTAGAGCACAATATGTGGATCATACAATCTATAAATTAGGGGGAAAGAAGATTGAAGGGACGGGAAATTGAGTATAGTCTTAGGGGAGAGAATTGGCTCTCTCGAAAAGCCAAATACCATTTATTTCATTTCTATGTTGTCCAGTACATTTACATAGTAGTAAATCTCTGTAATTCCTACCATCTGCATAGCTACTATAATCGAAGTTCTCCTATTACAAAATATCAAATAGTGTTTTGCATCAATTGGGTGTTGGTATCTTCCCTGCTGTGATGGAGGAATCATTCATAAGTGTAGGAGTCTTATCAGAAAACTAAAATATTTTATTAGTCAAGAATCGAATTAATTATTTTTACAACACTAACGAGTATTTATAGGCTCAAAACAATTCATAATCAAAGTGAAATTCAAATTCTATAAACAAATCCAAATAAACTAAAAACTATTAAACAAACCTAAATAAAACTAAAATATTGTAAAATGACGAAAATACTCTTAAACCGACTCAAAACAGAAAAATGCTAAAATAGACCTCAAAACAACGTAATTTGATCCCAAAAGTTTTGACGTCATAAAAAAATGTTCAGAATTGAAAAATGCTTCTGGATTGTACTCACCGTAAAAAATCCGACATTTGAGCTGAAAGTTATGCATGTTTTCGAAGATTCTCCTGATTTTTTTCTCTTTTCCAATTATTTATGATTTTCTCCTCTCTGCCCTGCCGCATTAACCATCTTTACTTACTCTATGGGTTCTCTCTAATCCAATCTTTATGCGTCTCTTTTTCTAGTTGCATTAATTTTTTTGGTGCGACTCATCAACTTTCTCATTCATGCAGGTTGTTAATGATGATGGTTCAGTATCCTTCATGATTATGCAGCTTCATTTAATGCTACAATGGTATATATAGCGGCAACATTGTTTGCTTTTTGATGTGACTAATTCAGTATTTGGACTTTCCTAGTTCCTTTAATCAAAACTTGATTTTAAATCTATAGCATGGGGCATTTTTGAGGTATAATGTGCAGTGCAAGCTCATTTGCCTATTGAAGGAATTTAATGTATAAGAAAGAATGAATTTAGGAAGGTATGCCTTTCGAAAAGTACTTGTTTACTGTTTCGAATTAAACAAAAAATGTGACCAAAGAAAAGAAATGGAACAAAAAGTTATCAACGAAACATTAAATTTCACCTTGTTATCTTTAATTTTGGAAAAAAATTGTTTCTTCATTTTTGTTTCTCTTTTCGAGTTTTGCTTCATTATTCAATATTGTATTTTAATGGAAATTTTGCAAATCACCACCTTGGGAGTTTTAGCCCTTGTTTGAGCCCATTTTTTGAAAAAAAAAAAAAAGCATTCTTGTATAGTGTTTGACCACATTTCAATCGCACATTTTCAATAAAATAATATTACACATAAAACCAAAATTTTTCCTTATTTTTTAACCACACATTTTCCATCAATACATTATTAAAAATGTATTTTTTTTATTTTTTATTTTTGACAAAAAATGGGGCTCAAACAAGCCCTCAATAAAGAACTTAATTGAGCAACTTATAATGAAACCCAAACAAGCACAATCATTTGTAAAAAGAAAAAAAGAAATTCATCTCTCGGATATATTAAAGGAGAAAAAAGTCTCGTGCTATCATATGATGTTTGGGTTTTATAACTTCATATATTTTTTTCTTTAAGCTTGGTATATAATAATATTTCCATGTTCGGAAGGCCATTATCCCTTAACTTCCTTTCCTAACCTTTTGTTAAGCTTCTCCCTTGTGCTATAAATGCAGCATGTTCTGCCCTTGTAGATGCTGTAATTCCTTTGAAATATCTTGCCGGTAAACATTATATATGGACATTCTTCCCATTAATGTTTTGACGAATGATGTATTATATACACTTTCATATAAGTGAAATGATGTTTATTGAATTGTGTTGAGTACTAACAATAGTTACAATTATTCTGTAGTTGCCATAAGTTGTTGTCTATCAGAAGATGAGTATTGTGTATTGGATCCCAACAAGTTAGAATAACAGGTATTCTAATTATTCTTATTTGACTTGGTCATTCTAATTTCTCATTCAGTATTTATCTTGTTTTTGAAATTTTCTTTGTCTTGAGTTAGTCAAATTACTGAATGAATGAATCATCTGGTGTACAAATATTTATATAATAGATATCAAGAATATACTACAACTCTCTGCATCCTTCATTCCTGTAGCCAGCATGCTGTTGTGTACATTCAATGTCATTTTTTGTTTATAGCATATAGTAGGAAAACACTTTCCATTTTGAATACTTGCAGTGCTTTCCCTGTGAAATACATAATTGATTCTCCACCTATATATGTTGTACCTAAAAATCTCTCACTATGTTTTTGCGTAAAACATGGCAGAATATGAAGGCACTGGTATATTTAATTTGCCGAAACTCGATTCTGTGTGTACTTGATGAGGAATCAGTGGAAGTAGGTGAATCAATTGAAAATGGAATTATCACATCTGTTACTCATGGTGTTATGTAATTGTCACACTTCATCCTGCATCTTTTAGTTCATGTAACGCCTTCTATTACAATAAACTTGTGTTAGAATTATGAGCGACATTGAATTCCTTGCTAGTTCACAGCAATGACTGGGTATTATGGCTAAGCAGTTTAAGAATCTAGATGTCTCTCTAGTATTTCTTATAGCGTGGAACCGTGGATGTTCTCATTTAAACTGATAGTAATAGGCTGACATCGAGCTTTTGTCATGATTCCTTATCCTTTTTCTATTTACTGTTTTCATGTATGAGCATACAGTAAAATCATTGCATGTTTGGCTGAGCTTGTATAAGTTACTTTTACGCAACTTTTCGTCTCCAAACATTTTTGGATAACTAATTTTTTCTTATTTCAAGTGAAAAAAGTTCCTTCTTCTATAAGTAACTCTTAGGTTGCTCTTGAAATAAGAAACTTGCTTATTTCCAAATTTCACTGTTACAAACTACCTAGCTTCAAACTTATTTTTCAAAAAGTTCACTTGCAAGTTAAACTTTTAAGCTTAACCAATCATGCGAGGTCCATTGGTGTACATTATGCTCTCTCCCTGCCCCTCAAATGCACGTCATATTGTTATTCCCAATGTTCTTTGAAATAATTACAAAGATAGGGGCATAAACATGTGCCCCTTTTTATTTGCCTCCAAATGTCTTACAGCTTGCTTTCATTTTTGCACACAGTGAACAATAACTTTCAGTGCCTGGAACAAGGATGTGCTAGAATCAAGCGGCTGTCTGATTTTCTTAGGAAAAAGTTGCGGTCTAACTTCTAAGGCACAAAATGATGTATCTGTAGCCGGCTGAATTTATTGAGGGCAATGGCATAGGATCTCAGCATCAGAAAATACTTTGATTTTCTTGGTATGTTATGACTGTTTTGTATATGATTTTCCGTACTCGCTGAATCCGCTTGAAGCTAGATGTGCTGTGAAATAGTTTTGCAGGAAAGTGTAAGTTAACTGCCATTTAGCTTGGATTAAGGATATGTTGTCCATTGAGGAGCTTTTGGCATTGACACTATTTCTGCAGAAATTATATACAAACTTCTACGTAAGATTTTATCTTCAATTAATGAAAATACATGTAACTGATTGAGACTGTTCAAGTGGTACTATGATTCAACTCAAATCATTCTTAAAAGAAAGGTCAAGGGTTCGAATACTGGTAACTCGACAGAAATCCGTAAGGGATAAAATGGGCTCAACTATTCCATAACGAACAATATGTAAGTTAATATTTGAACAAAGAAGCCTACTCGTTACAAAAGTACTCACCTAGTGTCAACAAAATCACTCAAGTAAACATGCAAGAAGTTAATGGTGCTCATTGCGTTAATTTTCTTTTATTGTCATATTAAAAGATTCTAATTCAGTTTCTCTGACACGTTTCAAATGTCAAATAATGGACTAGTTCATGTAAAATTCTTATTGATTGCGCTTTGTAAATGAAGTGTTAGTAGGATCATATTTTTTTAAATAATGAAGATGGATGGAAAAGTTAAGTCAACTAAAAGATGGAATTAACCTATTTGTACGTTGATGAGACATTTGCCTTGTTGATGGTAAATTTGATGTTGCGTAACAACCTTAAAGTGGACTGTACTTCAAAATTCGATACAACTATAGTCAGTCAGTTTTCACTGGGTAAGAATCGTAATGCTGTTAATAAACAGATGGGGAAGAACAACATAAATTTACTTTTGTATTAATTTAAAAATTTTACAATATTTTCAAGCTCAAACACTCCATTTTATTTCCAAACATGAGACATTAAACACAGTTCATCGGCATTATCACACCACAGACAGACACAGACATCATAAATTTACCAGCAAGATCAAAAAGCAAAAGGAGTGATTAACCAGAGATCTCAATGGATTTCACCTCAGGCTTCTTCACTTCCTCCATAGGCACAGTCACAGTATGCACACCATTCTCCATGCTAGCCTTTACCTGATCTGTCTTGGCATTTTCCGGCAACCTAAACCGGCGAAGGTACTTACCACTGCTCCTCTCCACGCGATGCCACTTGTCATTCTTTTCCTCTTGCTCTTTGCTCCTCTCTCCACTAATCTGAAGCACTCCTCCTTCAACCTCCACCTAAACCTCTTCCTTCTTGAGTCCCGGAAGATCAGCCTTGAAAATGTGGACTTCTGGAGTCTCTTTCCAGTCTATACGAGCATTAGCAAATGCAGAGGTTTCGCGGGCAGAGCTTGGGACATTGGCTACCGAGCTTGAGAAAGGGAAGTCCTCAAAGGGATCCCAAATATCAAGAGAGAATGGATCGAAAACGTTGCTTCGTCTATTGCCAAAGAAGCTTGGAATGAGAGACATTTTATCGGATGGATTTCTTGAATCGCAATACGAGGATTTACAATTTCTTGTAATAGCTGAATCAAAGCTTCCAACGTTTCTATTATGGATGCAGCTCCTACGGGCATTATATATACATCTTGCTATGGTAACATAGTGGTTGACCTAAGGGATGACATAATTTGATAAAAAAACATAAATGTCCTCCTTTTATTCTTTAGTCAAGTCAATGTTCT